AAATATTTTTATAGATTAACATTTTTAGTAAACTATAAACTTTTTATTCATCTTCTGTCATACAAACTTTGATTTTTTTTTTCAAGAACTCCTGTTTGAGATTCCTTAGTTTTTATAATATAAGTATACGAAAAAAATTATTAATAAACAAAAAACCAAATTCTTTTGTAATGCAGAGTTTTATTATAAATATTTCAATTCAAATTCAAATGTAATTTAATCTGCATTAAATATATATATATATATATATATATATATTTGTTTAAGTTAATTATGAAGAACTTTTTTTTATGTATTTACGTGAGAATTTCTTTTCAAACCTCATTATAAATTATTTTTTTTTGTTTTGCATCATTTTCATAAGATGTTTTCTTGTTGTATTCTTATATTACTGTTAATGTCTTTAAATTGTCATTTGTTGTATAGTTTCTCACGTTTATAATAAAAATAAATGAAATCAGTATTCAACGAAAAAAAAAAAAACAGAAAACTCTTCTTAAACCAATGAGACCAAGTGCTCTGAATGTATCATTTAAAATTAAAATTTTTTTATTTTATGTACCTAATAATACAATTATTAATAGTCAGATATACATGATTAAATAAAATCGAAGATCGTGGCTACATTCAGGTTCTTTTGTGTACCAAATAAGAGTGTCTTGATTGTTGTTTCCCAACACATATCGTTTCAAAGAAAAACGTATGAATAAAATATAATAAAAATACAATTTCACGGAAGTATATTAAAATTTAATTATTTTACAAATCATTACACATGTATCATGATATAGATTTATAAATTTAAGTTTAAATCATAAAATTCAAAATTACATTTCTAACGGAACAATATTATATATAATATTTACAATTAGTAATTAATGACATAGTATGTATAAAAAGTTTTATAAGTTGAAAAGGTATAAATTGTATACAATAAATAAAAACAAATGTATAAATAAAAGCGAAATTTCTCTATTCTTAAGATTTTTCTTTTGAATTAAAATAATTTTTTGTTTAACTTTACTTTTCTTTTGAATGTGCTTTCTGTATATCTCTTTTTCTTTATCCTATGTATACAAATATGTAATATGAAATTGGGATGTTCATTTAGTTTCAATTATTTTCTATTATAATGTGATTTCATAAAAATAGGTTGGATAAATAATATGGTTTTATACGATATAATAATTACAAGAACTATAATACTCGTATTACTATTTTTACCATAATATCTAAGACATTTATTTTCAAATGTAGACAGAAATAAAATTAGAATAATTATTAGTATTTATATTTTATTTTATTTTTTTAGGTTAAGACTAAGGGTTTATTTTACTATTTTCAAGTTTGTTACATTCCTAAAATATAATCTTAAAACTTTGTGATTCAACATCTTATTTATTTTTAATGAGAAAAAACAACAATATTTTTCATGTCTGATATTCTTGATATTTGATTTACAATTTGTATTCAAATTATTAAAATCACTTTAAAAATGTACTATAATCTAGTAACTTGAAAGTCAAAAACATTATTATTACGATTAACAATTATTGCTATATCATAAGTGATAATTAATATCAGTATATAATATAGTATTTGTACATTTAATTTGTTAAATTTTAAAACGTAATATAAGTAAATTATATTATCCACAATGATAGCTTCTTTTTGTGGCGCCAGATCAAATATTACGCAATATACATATGTGAAACATAAATACAGATTTTATTTTTCAAATATTATGAACATGCAGCGTTTTTCGCGTTCTATGCAATCTGACAATCGGACATAGTATTATTATGTGGTGGCGTCGGCGCACGTATATAATAGACTTATGGACCAGCTATATTACATAATACAATAATACGCGACATTAAATCAATAACATATATGGAATGTTATTACTCAAATAGAGGTTTTCAGGTTTAGTAATCATTAATTTACCAATTTTTACCACAACTTACTTAAGATTGCCTACAACATTGACTATAATGGTTATTTTATTTAGGACATTGGGAAGTACTCATGTGTTTTTTATCGGAAGACGAAAAATCGTGTATCACCCGGAAGGCAAACACACATGCAAATAATATAGTATACTGCGACCGAGTTCGTATTCTGTTGTAGGTATAGTCATTTTCTTTTAATTTTTTTCGGATTCGTTCGTCAAATCATAAATTATAAAGAGGTATTTATATTATGCATTACTATAATTGTTTACACGTAAGTATAGGTAGTATATAATGTTATATTAAAAATAATACCTATTATATATATATATATACGTCGTTTATATAATATATATATTATGTGTGTATTTAGGCATACTTGACGACTTGATGGTCACATCGATTTAAATGTCAAGTCTTTTATATCCGGCCTGGCGTGTCCGTCTTGACCTAAATATATATTTTATGCATACATATTGTATGCATGTATTCCGATCTGTTTGTTGCCGCGATGTGCATGCACGACGATAATATTATTATAATACGTACACTGGGTGTACGTGTCCAAACGGCTAAATTCGTGATCCACGATCACCCATTTAGATGCATTAGGCAAAATAGTAGAACACTGCAAATACGTAGGTCGGTAGTAGGTACCAACTATAAATTATATACTCGATTCGCGTAACACTCGCGGGCCTAGCATAAAAACTTTTCCACAGTGTCATATATTATATGCTTTACTTCGAAAAGCAGCTATTAATTTTATATTAGGTATAGTGTCTTATAAGTTATAAGGTCCAATTTTATTTTCAACTAATATCTATCATAATTAGTTTTAAATGATAGGTAGTATTTTTTGTCGAGTTTAAGAATAATAATAACACCTAAGTATACTTAAGATCATTTTTAAACAGACGTATACATTTGTGAAAAGTTCCACATATTTAAAACCTTTTAAAACTATACTATCTAACTTTCATTTAATATGTGAGCCAAAATAACAGTAAAACAATTTTTAAGTCTTAAATTATAATTAAAATTATAATACTATATTGTGCGAGTCAATATATTGTGTTCTATATGACTGTATAATAAAATATTACATAGATGCGTTATCCGAATGACGAGTTCGCGTTTTCTTACAGCGCGGTCAACGTGACACGTCGATTTCCTTTTGATGTCCAAAGCCAATATCGAGGGCTTATATAATGTATCCTACGAGTGTGGTTTTGAAAGTGTGTGCTATTATGTATAATGATATTATAAAATAATATAATATATATGCCGTACACTGTGACCTTGAAATTACGACAATGAATAATTTTCTCTACGATATAACGTAGACGATTGTTCGTCCAATACGAAAAATAATACTATTAATACTATGTACATGTATGTATATGTTTGTGTGTGTAAAAAAAGTCCTAGTAATTTGGACGGTCGAAAAAAGAATTCCTGTTTTGTACATATTATACCATGAAGGCGGGATAGTTTTTTTCTTTTCATTTTGTGCACCATTAGTATAGATTGTTTCGGTTAGTTCCAATGCCATGGAAAAAAATAATAATAATAATAATAATAATAGCGCAATGCACTTTAACGATGTATTGCCGCGCTACCGATGGAATTCGATTATAATAATCGTCGGCGTTTTATTTAGATCCAAAATCGACGTGAAAAAAAAAACATCACTAGAGAAACGTCGAAAGCGAACAAAAAATGTACCGTAAAAATAAAATTACAGTTTTATTTGGAAAAAAAATAAAATGCACAAAACTCAAGATATTTTCGTCAAAAAGCTGTAGTTTTTAAGACCTAATTGAAGAATTCAAATTAAAACTAGAACAACCGCTAATTTATTCGATAAAAAATAGGACGTATATTTACATGTCATCGTAGTTGCAATTTAAGTTTCAGAAAACGTGACTAGGTTAGGTATACAGTATTGGTAATATGATATAAACTGTTCTCAACCTATACCAAATTGATATAGATTAAGATTCAGTGTATAATTCAAATTTCGAAGTATCTTCTTCATCAAAAATTAAGCTTATAGCTAATGCTTATTAGATATTATCCATCTATTTATTTGGTTTCTTATGAAATACAAAAGTTTATTTTAATATATTTCTAATAATCACACAACTGTATAAAAAAAAGAAATTATTTAAATGTAATTTTCTTATGATCCGTTAATCAAAACACACAATTTTATTACTCTTGAAACTATACGTAAGATAACTAATTAATTTGTTAGCGTCCACAAATCATTATCTAAGGAGATACTTCAACCTGACATTGCCCCTATTATCCCTATGTCTTATATGTCACTATATCGTAGTAAATTTAAAAGGTCATCAGAGGATAATCATATTATTGTGCGACGATCGTTCAGAACTTCATATTAATATGTATTAAAAAATATCTTGAAAATAATAAAAGTGAAATGTCTATAAATAACACATGTTAAAAAATATTTATCTATTTTAAAACTAAATACAGAATATCGCCCATTTCTTTAAATAAAAATCTCAAAATCGACCGAAAATTGTAATGTAACGCTTATCAATTAATGGATCTTCTCATTTTATGATAATTTATTATATAATATTGATAATATTACGATATATAGTGTGTAATAATATAATTATAATATTATAGCGTAATAACAGTAAGCGAGCACGCGCTTAACCGCGTTACGTCACTTATACGAGAAACCTCTGTACGGTGTTTGTTGGAGAACGCGCGCGCGCGCTAATTCGACAAAATATGGTCGTAGGTCGTATGACACTGCATTGCGGCTTATCGATTAACCAGTGTCTGTTATTACCGAGTCGTCTACATACACGAAGTACAGTGATAATAGTAATAATAAAATGAATACTATACTATTACTTGCCGTGTATACTTCTGTGCAATGATGGCATGCGCGCCGCGCGGCGGTCGTACTCGAACAACAGTTTATATTTCTATTATGTGCGCGCAATCGGTTATAAATGTCTTAAAATGCTTATATATTATCATATTTTCGTGGTTTCGTTTCAGAATGGGCACCTCAGAGGTACTGGAAGAATTTCCGCCGCCCACGGTCCCCGACGACGGGTGTCCACGGCGGCGGGAGCAGCAGCCGCAGGATCAGAATCATCAACGTGAAGACGAAAATGATATCCACGACGATGAAAATGTGCTGACCATCGAACAGGCTCGAGCCGTGATAAAACAGCTGCGAGACAGATGCCGGTTCCAGACGCACCAGACGCTATTGTGGAGGAGAAAAGCCAAAATACAGGTACCTATGTTGTACGATTTCATAAGACCGTTTCATAAGTCGCGGAAGTCATCCGCATATTATTTAGATTTTGAAATGTTGCAGAAAAATACAAGGAATAACTCGTCTGTACGAATACTGTATTAGTAGTCTTGTTCAATATCTAATCAGGTTCATCAATTTATTTACATATTTTAAATTACAAATCGATTTTTAAACACTAGAAATTAGGCGAACCACGTAATTTCAATATAACTCTCATTTTATGCACTGATAAATGCGTTATGTTGTATTCATTAAACAGATATCTAATAAACTGGTTAAGACACAATTGGTTGCGTTAGTTGTTACTTGTTTTGTGGCCGATCGAATAATTATTATTACTGCAACGTATGGTTAAGTCTAGAGATAAAAATAATAATAGATTTATTTAAAAAATAGTGAATTATTAAAGCTTTACAAATATTAAATTTACAAACATCAAATTTTTCGGAAATGTCTTTTTTTCTAGTCTATATTACAGCTATACAGTATTATGATTATTGAGATAAAAGAAATAATTTGTGAAATGGCGTACCAAAATATTATCTAGTTATTTATTCTCTAAAAATAAAACAAATTATGTTGTGTAGTTAAACTTGAAATTATAATCATTTATTTACCTTTCACGGGGTGGGAGAGTACTTTGACTTAGCGTCACCTTAACCTACCCTTGATACTGCTAACCAACACTTTCGGTTATAAAACGAAATGGCATCAGCTGTGTTAAACAGAGTTTAATACCACTGTCACTTGTAAGGTAGTGCGTGCAACTAGAACGAACGATTGAAAACACACGGTATGGACATTAGAAATTATTGTTTTTACTTCACGAATTGGTTATTTGTTAGACATGATATCTCGCGGCGTTTTGTGTATAAGGTCGACCACATATATATTATTATAATATTTAATAACAGTCACCAGATAAAAATGCTCATGTCTCCCGCTCACAATACATCGTCGCCATTTCAAGTGATAGCTAAAGTTAAATTGATATCAGTAAACATATTATTTTATTATAATGACTTGGCTAGAGTGGTTTATTTACTTGTGAAAAATTGCGCTTTCATAGTGATATATGTACCATATTCCATAGATCGATTGTGAATTAAGTGTGTCTGTAAAGAACTAGCCTACTTGATTGTTATTATTATTATTTTTGTTTGAGTCGAAGAGCCAGCTGATTTTTAGACTTATTGTAAGGACACCAAATCAGTCATAGAAAATGTGTAACATTTGGTTATTAATTATAGTACACCAATTTTTAATTTATTTATAACAACAATATATGTGATGTTTTTATTTGTAATAATAAACTATACTATTTTTCCAATTTTACATTCTATGTATAGTCAATAAGTTCTTTATTATGTAAACGTACTTTTTCTTAGTTCTTACTATCTGGGCTGGGTTTAGTTTCACTTATATAAGTGCTTAGCAATTTATTTAAGTAATTTCCAATCTTAATTGATCATAACATATTTTCATATAAATAGTATGTACTAGAAAGTCCAACTTTTGGGTCACTCCCAAAGACTTTCGTGGACTTATATTAATTTTATGGTGTTTAAAACAATTGTCTTGCATTTGTGTGGGTATTAAGCTATTCTTTAATAATTTCACGTTACAATAATTTGATCATAATATTAATAATAATATATATGTTTAATAAATATAATAATTAACAATACGTTTTTGTAATCATTACAATTTAAATCATAATAGTTATGAAATTATTTAGATTCTTATTAAATATTTATTCAATGCTAGTAAATAAAATATTAAATTAAATAATATTTAACCACTGTCACGTTCGACCTGCAATCGCAATAATATGCATCGATGTATTCTGGAGTGTCCTCCACGACCCTAATTTATTGTAAATAATATTGAAAACAACGTTTATATAAGACTGGAAGTTTTACTATTATTTATTATTTATTTTTTGGCACATCGCTGTCGTAACAATCGCCAATAATTTTACGGACCACTGTTCAACAGTTTGTCGAGTGAAATGCACCATCACTACGCCGGGTGCGGGCGTTTAACCTCCACGTGACAAGTTCAAGGCGGGCACCACATTATTATTATAATACCAACAACTCTCAAGTTGTGTTAAAAATCGTGCTTACTTCCGAGGTCGTCGCTAAAATCGTAGGTGTCTGTTAAAATATGAGAATAAGCGCCGTGTGAAGGTGTATTATTGCATTATTATTTCTCTGCTATTATTACCAACATTAATAATATTATTATTATTGATTGATAATATTGTTATTATTATTAGTGATAAATTGTTTCATTTTATTATAAGAGTATAAATATAAAATTACAGTCCAGCAACGAATTTAGCTTAACTATTGATTTATTTAATGCATTTGTGCTTAATAAAAACACAGTTTTCATCCAAAATATTTTATTATAGCCAAAACAGAGAAAATATTAATTATTATCGTTGGTATTATGACTAATTATTATGACCAGTAATATCAGTACGAAAAATAATCACTCGTACTTCACATAATTTGGAATAAAAAAATTACAAAATCATTTATCATCTTAAAATGTGACGGTCTTACTTTACGCATATTGCATATATTGTAATTTGTTATTATTAGGCGTAATTACGTTTTTATAAAACATAGATCTGTAATTCTTATTACTTTTTTTTGTATTATAAATTTTTAAAACTATTTATATCTATATATGTATCAAAGTAGTAAGTGTAGCACGTAAACATCAAGTATTATTATGTGGACCGAAACGGCGGCCAACTACGATGTCGACGGTGTACCGTTAAAAACTCGCACACGACTACTAAGGAACAAAATAAAATGAAGAAGAAAACAAAAAAAAATAAACTGTTCAAAATGTAATTCAAATTCGTTACCTCGCGCTTTTCCCGGTTGATGCAAAAAAAAATCTTCAAATAACTATACTGAAATCGATTAAGAATCTAACGGGAAATCTTAGCTGTTAATAACCGTGGTAATAATGATAATACTAATTATCGTGTCGATCCGACTGCAGTAGAAGTATAGGTCTGTGTCAATACTTTTTTTTTATAATAATATGTAATTTTAATTTATGGTATTTTCTTCGATTATTTTCCCTCTCCCGGCCTATCACCATTTGACGGTGACGAAGTACACATTGGTTTTCTCTTATCTTATTAATTTTATTATTTTTTCTATTTCATCCTAACCTTATGCAGTCGTTTATAATCCTGTCTATTACACACATTACCTAACTTGGATATATCACAAATCGACTTGATTTACTTTTAAAATATGTTCGTTGATTTCCTGTTTTCTAACATGTTTTAAACAATAAGGTATTATTTATTATTATTACCGTTTTTTTTTCGCGAAATAATAGTTCTTATATAACGAGCAATCGAGTAGAGAACGTACACTAACATATAACATTATAGTATAAAAAGAAGATTCTCTCAAAATGACAAAACGTATTCTTACACAAATAAAATATACAAGCCGCGTAATGATAACGATTTCCTTAATGCTGCACCTAGACAACCTTCTTGAACGGGTCACGTAACAGCGACGGAATTATATAGGTATAGCTACTACTATTGATAAATACCAAGCGTTATACGAGTTTAGTATAGGAAAATAGTGATTATTTCGTCGCTATCAGTTATAATTCGAAATGTGAGGTCGTAAAACAAATTATATGTGTTCAGTGAAGTCTTGCTAATAATCGATATAATTTTATACTTATAATATAATAAACATTAAAAACATTATACGTATGTACAATTATTACTACACTGTTTTAATGGCACTGCAAAAACTCAATTTACAATTTTTAATATTTACTTTTCATTCGTGTGTTTAACCACGAGATCGGTAAATCATTTAACGCATTATTTCACTGTGGCTGGGCAACTTCAGCATGGATTAATAAAACTTTTACTATACACACGTAATAATTTCTTAGAAATTAATCGGAAAATCATAGTTATTATGCATAATTTTGTTTCTGCGATGTTTCGATGTTTAATTCAACTTAAATAATTACATATTATTCCACAAAAAACATTACAATATAAGAAAAGGAAGAATTTTTGGTGATTTCAAGAATATAAAATATTATATGAGATTAATTTACGTTATAGGTGGATTTAAATTTTAATCAGTGGATACTGTTTCTAATTGTACCTATATTTTCAATGTTGTAAAGGTAACACATATATATTAAATTGTTTTTTTGAAGGAATGTTTCCAGTAGGAAGGGAAACATCTTCGAAATAGTTCTCGTTCGTCATAGTAATGTACTATAAAAAATGGGTACTCATGATGTAACTCGTCAATTATTGAAAAATATGAAACACTATTTTTCTCAAAACTAAATTTTTTTATTGTTGGTTTTTAGGAAGAACGGCTAACACAGATGAGTTCGGAGTACGGGTTTCGGCTGGAGTCGTTGACGTCAGACCTATTATTGTTCGAGTCTCGGCTGAGCCGCAAGCAGCGAGCTATTAGCGAACTGCTAGACCAACGTGAGGCGATTATCGAGCGACAACAGCACGCTATCAGGTGCCTACACTCGAGACTTGCCGACTTCGGCGTGACCGCATCGGTGCCTGGATGCTGTGGAGGTGACGGCGACAGAGTTGGTGGTGGAGGTCCAACGTCCGATGACGGCAACGTGGACGACAGCGACAGCGCCGTGATCATGGAGGAAGACGAGTCAGGAAACAGCCAAGAAGATGCGTCCGAACAATCTTCGCATCCACGGATGGACCGACGACGGACATCAGTGGTGTCGGCGTCGGCGTCGGAAGGCTCAGCTGATGGTCGTCTGCCTGCAGAAGACGGACGGGAAACGAACGTCCGAGGTACTGAAAACGAGACCGCGACCACATATAATCGAGTGATGAGCAATCATCGATCGGTGACTAAACCGAAGGACGTCAAATACAAGCGCATCAACAAGGCCAAATCAAAGTCCCTTGAAGAGCTCCGAGGCCGGCTAAAGAACTGGGTAGATCGCGGACAGCGCATGTCGCTCACCGTCGACCCTACGTACGGGTGACCACGGTGGCCGGCCGTCTCGGGCCTCTTGGACAGACTGCGGCCAGCCCGGAAGACTGTGGCGAAGACCTGCGACAACGTGTGACTTGGCGTGGCACACTTGAAATTACCAAATGAATCGTATCGTATCGTCCCGCTTGAGAACAAAAACTTAATGTTAGGGCTGGTATTTAATGCACTAGGAATCGCTAAAAATATTCTAAAAATAAATGAAAGAGTTCTATAAAAATCTCAAAAAATGCACGATAAAATGCATTTAAAAAAGTATTTATTTCCAATCAATAAATTATGTGTTGTACAATAATGTTTTTTTTAACATAAAATGTAGTACAGAGTATACTTGATTTAGTTAAATCAGTAACGCATATAACACATTTTATATTCATGGAACCATTTGAAAAAAAAACGAAAAAATAATTACATTGCATAAAAATTCCAGCCCGGAATCCTAATTATTATAATTCGCACGTTTGAATATAGTATTATAATAATAATTATTATTATTATTACTACTACGTAAAATTGGAAAAAGAATCGATGAAACAAATTAATTAAATATAGCGAGTACCTATTAATTAGGTAGTACATTTTAAATAACAACAATAATTTATAAATATAAATATAATTATTCTAAATTGTTCGTCATTTTTCAATATGATTCTTTCCGATATTGGTTCAAACGTGTTTTGCTCATAAGCTGGACAATTTGACGATTTCAAAGACGATATGTTAAATCCGTTTTTTATAACAAAAGTTGATCAGTCCGTTTGAAAACTTTATACTTTACATTTTTATAAGTCACTATATAAAATATATTATATTACTGGCTTTGGATGATTCGGAGTTCCTAACGCGCCACCACCCCTCAGAGACAGCATGTCGCATTAGGGGTGATTTTATTATTACTAGTATTATAAATATTGTTATTGTATTATGTCTACTATTATTGTTAAAATCTTTGAAATCGTACACGATTGTAATTTATATAATTTACTATTATTTAAAAAATGATAATATATGGTATACATGTACAATTAAATAAATAATATTATACTTAATTTTCAACAATAAAGTGTACAATAATATTTAAATATAATTTATACGATTATTTAATTTCATGTATATTACTACTTACGTTACATATTTTTATTTGATTCTGTTGCGTTTCACTGTTTGCGTATACATTTAGATATGTTGTATTACTGTGTTCACAAAATATTTAATTATGAAATTGTTTAACTCATGTAAATTTGTATTTATATAAAATATTAAACCGAGTAATTGTAATTATAACTATGTTTTAACGACGGTAATTAAAATATAACTCAATGATATTAATACTACTCAAATGCCCAATAATTGTAAGGTATCTATAAGTTTATTCTTACTTAAGTCAAAATTATTGTTTTTTAATTTTTAATAATTTAAGTGATTGTACACATTATATACTCTTAACCTATACCTATGTAATGATTTAAGCCGTCCAATGTAGGTGCAATCTTTCTATATTATTCAGAACAAAAATATACTATTATTATTGCAAAAATGCTTAAAAAGCTCGAATAATTTTATATTTGTACTTGAAAAATACTAAAATTTATATATTTATATACATTATTATATTATACTTAATGCTTTAATCAGTATGATACTTGAGCTCTATTTTTGGTTACCTATTAATGTTAAACATAACCTTCTTGTATACATATGAATTAAAGATAAACATAATTTGTAACGTTTGAATACTTGTACAAAATGTTGTCTTCAAAATGTTTCATATATTATTAATTTAAGATATTTGTATTTATGTTCTATGGCTGGCGTTCAAAATTTGCATTTTAATGAAGTTCAACAAATTATGTTATAAGCGAGTAAAATAACTTATATTTTTAATCAGTATAAATTGATTATAAACAAGTCATCTATTATTTAAATTTGAGGCTAAATATAATAAAAAATATTTATAAGCTGATTCTCGTGTTTTATTATTTATTATTAATCAGGACTATTTTAATGTCAATGCGGGTGTCTAAGATTTAAGATACAATTAATGTATTTAGTAACTACTTATGTTTTTTTTCATTACAATGTAAATTAATCATTAAATCTTAATAGAAAAAATGTGCAAAAATAAATTCATATTTTTTATTTTAACTATTACTATGTACAACATGTTATTATATAGTTTTGAAGCATCCAAATAAAATAGCAACAATTCACATTTTTAAGCCAAAATTTTGCTTACATTAAAAACTTATCTCTCACATACTTAATAAATATCTTAAAACGCTTAAAAATATAAATTAAATTTAAATAAAATATATATTTTTTTTTAAATCCATAATTCATAGATAATAAAGCATTAAATATACTTTTTCGTAAATAACATTAAAAAAAAAAAATTTCAAATATTTAAAGTTTATGTTATTATTATATGCAAAATGCATAATTATTATTTCAATTACCTAATGAAATCAAATTATGCACAATAAATAATTTATATTTTATACTTACCAACATAACATTTAAAATGTTTCAGAGTACTTAATTAATTTATATAGTAGGTAAATTTATTAATGTGTTAAAGAATTTAAAAAGTATAATAAATCATGAATCATCTAATTAAATTGATAATATTTGTGAAATGATTATAAATGGATATTAATAAAATTAATATTTCTGAATGTACAAATTATATAATATTTAATAGTAAAATAACTTCAATCTCAAAGTATTTTTAAAGTAAAATTTAAACGTCATATCTTCCAAAAATATTTAAGTAAAAATTTAAGTGTAAATTTTTCTTATTTAAAATCTATTGCACTAATAAACAACTAAATGTACATTTGAAGTCTTGGACTCTATGTGTGATTGAGCTTTATAAAGCTTTTACGTTTTGCCTGTTTTTTTTTTTTAATTTTTAACAATTAATTAGTAGGTATGCAATAAGCTTGTACATAGATATAATTTACTTGCGATGCCATTATATAAAATATCTACTACGTATCATTAGAAATTTAGAATATAATAAACGTTATCTAAGTGTTTCAACCGTAATGAGAAAAAATTCATCGATACTAATAAATAAGTTTAAAATCAAGTAATCTAAAAAACATTAATAAATGACTCTGAAAACAATGCATGCCTACGTAAGGCTTGTACAATTAGTTCACACAACGAAATTATATAGGTAAAACAAAACATTCGTTACAGTTTTAAGACACATGTCGAATTATTAAGTACGCATATTTTTTTACTGATTAATTACTTTTAATTAAATTTAAATTGTAACAAATAGTAGTCAGTGAATGATTACTAATGATTATAATTGATAATTTATTATAACAAAAGTTTAAGTAATTACTAATTATAGCTAATACGTTACTGTTACTTCATACTTAGAAGTCATACAGTTGTACATTTTGTATAATATAATCAACTAAGTAACTATAAGTTACTCATAATTTTATTTATTTCAAACAGTAATTTCAGAAAAAATAACTTTTGTTAATCACTTCCCATGGTTATGTCTCATAAAAATTGTTTAAATAACAATATTAAAACAAACCGATAATGTAACTGTGCTTAATATCGAATATATTTTTAATTTACATCGTAATAACTTTAATGAACGTGTTTAACTTTAATTCAATGATAACCCTTGAATACAAATATTAATCTGACCAGCGACAGTGTGAGAGCTTCTATATCTAATGTCTAATAGAAGTTATTTTATAATATATTCATATAAAGTACTAATATTTATTGTTATTATTATTTTTTTAATAGTGACATGGTAGTTAAAACTAATTTCTTTCGAAAAACATCACTTAATACATTGTTGTTAATAATTAATAAGTCAATAATTCATATATATATGATGCACCACATACGGATGTGAATAGATTTATCATATAACCAGCTTAAAATTAGTATACATTTATTAAAAGATATTTTATATATTTTAGAATATTTCAATGTTTATTGAAATAATAATATACGTAACGGCTAAATGATTCAAGTTTTTTACAATAAATAACTTTTAGATAACAACAAAATAACTAAATTTGAAAGAATATTTTTTTTTTGTTAAAATATCTGATTTTGTCAATATTTGAACTTAAAATATCTATAAAAAGAATAAATAATTATGTATATGTATTTTTGATACCTATACCTTTTTAAAATTGCTATTAAAATAACTTCTTCTTATAAATTAATTTTTCAAACTTTTTTACCAAGAAAAATGTTTATATTTAACATTCATGGAAAACAAACTTAAGAAATTATACTGAACATAAAAAAGTCTTATTTTTTAAATTTTATTTTGTGTAGAAAAAGATAATTTAAATAATAATGGAATAAGTTTCTACGAACATTAATTTTTGTTTATTAAGTATTAACACAACATTACAAATAGTTTGAGAGTAAATCGTTATTTATACGCTTCTCAATATCACTACAATTTATTTGAATTTCAAACGCTCATAAAAATATATTTGGTTCTATACTAAGATTGTTTTTTTTCTAAATTAAAGTAAAAAAAATATATGAGAAAATGCATTTCCTTTTCAAGCTTAAATATTAATATAACAATTTTTTCCACTCATAACTCCATCTCCAGAAAATTTAATTTAGGTCTTACTTGTTATCTACCTCAAATTAAAAATTGAAGCATTTTTTCTTATACAAGCATTTAATTAATTTACGCACATCATTGTTATCCATAACATTAAACCTACATGTATTTAAAATCTAAAATACTCGTATACCCAATTTGTAATTTATTTTAAAATAAAATGTTTTCGTTTATCGCTACAAAAATAATAATAATGATAATAAAAAATACAAGAACGGATTATAAGTGATATTAAGCTTCATACATATTATAAACCTAAGCAGTACCTATTTGTATGAAATTTAAATTTTTGTAAAAATATGTTAATAATTAATAGTAATAGTGTTAAAAATATATATAATTTTACCCTCAAAAGATTATTATTAAGCACAATCGATTTAATTTCGAATATTTTGCCATCAAAAAACTACCCAAACTTTTGTGGTTGCAATATTTTTATTATCAGAACATTTTCGGTTTGTAATAAACAATTCTTAGCAAATGTGTGTTTTACATGTTTTGTACTAAAATTAATTATTCTTCATCGCCTGTAAGGTAAGTAGTGAAATTATTCTTTTTTTCCCCTAATAACAATCGTTTGACTGTTCATTTTGTACGGTTTTTGGTCTCAACGTCACGAAATAGTTTGTAAATATTACTATCATATAAACGATTAAATTGGTCACTGAAAAAATGTCAACTGCAGCCATCTAATGTAGAGCTGCAGCCATATTCATCCAAAGTTGGTCGGATGAAGTTGAAACGCGGCTGACCACTTAACCCGACTAACTTCAATTTTTCCGAACCACTCGTATGCCATTGTGCGGCGACCGATCAATGTTTTCACACGTAAATAACAAAAAACAAACACAAAAAAACACTCCACACATCATTCGCGCGGAAAACCTATTCCGCTTAGATCTTTATTTTTTAATTTAAAAACTCAAGTTGTTATAAACACGATATAATAATAATGTTTGATTATTCGATGCTAACCACAAATTCAAATTATATCAGTACTTAGTTAAACTTAAACATAATAATAATTATAATGTAATATTTCGATCAGGTCACAATGCACAAATTTATGCGCAACAATGATCATGTAATAAAAGTCCAATATCGATAAACAACGCATATAAATAAATTTAAATATTCTCTCAACACGATAAAAATTAAAAAATTAAAACATTCAATTACTTAGTACTATAGGTATGTGCAAGTAAATAAATTAAATAGGAAGGTAACTATATTTATAATGACAGCCGCCTTAAAGATAGGGTTCCGTCCAGTATTTGACGGCGGCCGGATACGCAGACTTGCAGTCAAACGACGCCGACTTGGCTCTGCTCCTGCTCTTCACGTCCTTGGGTTTCTGCACGTTTCTGTGCGATCCGTATGCGTTTCTGTTTGGTTGCACGGTGATGATGGACTTCTGGCTGAGGCCGGTCACCTCCAGGAACGATTCGTAGTTGACCTGGCCGGCACAACACGTACTATCGTCCCCAGCCGACCGCAGCAGGACCGCCGCCGCCGCCGTGACCGCCGCTGCAACGGACGACGAACCGTGTCGACCACCACCGGACGGATATTCGATCCCGTCCGCTTCGGATCGGCCACAACCGTATTCCTTGTCCAGGTCACTGTCCTCAAACCGGAACTCTTCGAAGTTGTTCCGCGGATCCAAATCGCTTAAGGACACCGTGCAGCCACCGCTGCAAATGTCCGGTTCCGAGTCGGTCCTCACGTTCAGCTCGGCAGCCGTCCTCAGGTCGGCATCCGCGATATAACTCCCGTCATTTCCACCATGGCTGTCGATCAAAGTCGGTGACCTCCTACCACTGACTACACTGCCACCGCTGTGGTCCGTGCCGCGTGACTCTGACGCCGTTGCCAAACTGGAAGTTGTGGAAGCCGTGGTGCATATGCTCTCAAACTTCCGGACCATCTGCGACACGCTGGGCGACGTTTCCGTAGACGCTGTGCTTGACGTGTCGTTCTCTGATTCGGTCGAATCACCGCATTGCTGCAGCAATAACGTCTCAACTGTTTTCACGATGTCCGTCTGTCCATCTTCATCGGGCTCGGGTATATGAGTCGTCTTGCCGAAGTGTACGGTCTTTGGCGACGGGTACTTATCCGCCTTCTTCAGTGCAGACGTTATCACCTTGCCGTTTTGTTTCACCGAAGTTATCACCTACAAACAAATTCAAGACGTCAAAACGGTATGACTCACTTTCCTTTACACATAATATTATATAATAATTATTATGATATACAATGCGACATGCTAATTGGTGTCGCTATTGTTTACCATAGGATTTTTTATTTTCACTGAAAAGTTATCTCTAAGATATTTTAACCATTATTTATAAATACACAGTGTTCAAATTTTTGGAAGTGAATTTTCAAATTAATAAATATGGTAATTAATATTATTATTTTTTTTTAATTTAAATAATTTCCAACCAAATTACCTAAGTTAATATCGCTTAACGATAAAACAAATGAATGTTAAATAATAATTACTTTAATTTCATGGTTATTATATTATTTTAAAAATATTATGTTTTAATATTAATAATTGATTAATTTTATTACAGTGGAAATTGATTATAACCCCATCGGTTATTACGTCACACTGATACGGTGACTACAATAAATAAAATACTACTATTTTTCCATTATTTTAATGTTAAAAAGTATAAGATTAAATAAGTATATGCTATAACGACAAAACTGATTTAATGATTATATTACAATGAGACAATAATAAAATTATTTTAATTTGTAATGGTATATAACGTCTATAATTTATCAGTAACTCAATAGGTATAATTTTATCATAAAAATATTAATAATTAAAATAATACGGTTGAAATATATCGCTACGTATTTTATTTAAGTTTAATTTAGTCAGTTTGTATACGTCAAAATGATAAAACGGAAAGCATTTACAAATACATTACTCATAATTATTGTACATAGAAGATACATCAGTTAAATATTGATCATTAATTTATTTTATTATCATTATCATTTATGATACAGAAACATAATTTTCCATTAAAATATGATGCAACCAAAATGTTAATTTATATGTTTTAAAAATAGCTACTTTTAATACGTTTTATTATCTATAACAACAAGTTTATCAGTCCTTTAAAAATCGTGACAACTGATTTTACTGTAATTTGTAAGTAATTTAATAGGCTTAAACTTAGTTAATATTATACTTCAAAAATATAATTTTAATTAAATGTTTTGTTTGTTTTTTTTTAATTAAGGCATCTTCTTCTTCTTTTTTTTAAATTTTACTAAGATGTAAATATTCTTTTTTGAAATTTGAGTTAACTTTATCATGGAACTGATACCATCTTATATTTATAAATATCTGATATCTGTAAAATCTACTGCAGAATATTTACCAGGGAGTAAAATTTCACGGTGGAATATACTTTTGTTAAATTTTTTAGGTAGGTACAAATCATTAAGAGCACATGAACGCAGATCAAAATACGAGTATACCGGGCACACACTACCCTTACAACAGTTTGTGACGTAAAGATTGTATAGACGCAAAATAACTAGTAAGAATAATTACAATGCAGGCAAAAATATATATAAATATATATTTTTAGGTTGTAAATATTTTCAAGAGTTAGTGGTAAAGTGATATTGGGAAAAAAAGTGATGTCTTTAAAAATTTTTATGCGCTTATTATAAGTCGGACTGTCGAATTGTTATATAGAACTCTGTGTTTTTATTAAAGAACAGTAGATGAATTTTATTTTTAAGATGTAATGACAAAATTTAACATCATAATATGCATATAAGTATATACGCAATACAAATGATCATTATTTAAAATCTAAATGAACATTAGTAAACGAGATGATAGTTTGATCAGATATAAAAATTTAACGTATTGCAAATTTTAATATTGTCACATAATAATTATTACGTTAATAGTTATTACGTTTAACAATTTTCTAAAAAAAAAACTATACCTCAAACATATTACAATTGTATTGTGCACAACTTATAGTTTGTAAGTGAATGTGTCAAAAAATATAATTAAAAAAAAAATATTATAACTTGAAATTATGCTCTTAGAAAACATTTTTTATTCTAATCATAACGTACCATTAAGCATTATGGGCAAAAGTCAATTCGTCCTAGTTCAATAATTATTTTTATTTATAATGAATAATTAGAGCTAAATAAAAGAATATTACCATTATTAATAAAATAAAATATTTTTCATGGCTTGGCGTGGCGCGTTAGCTGCTACCAGACGCATTCCGCGACTGTTGGTAAGTAGCAACTACAGCTACTAGCTTTCGGATGGGTAACCACCCGAGTTTATATTGGTTAAAAACCTTGCCACACATACACGTATTTACTATCAACCGTAACAACCAAAACAATCGTAAAAAACAACCTACCATACCAACCTTACCCCTACAACAGGTAATGGCCCTAGCGCCGGGCTAAGTTCAATAGAAAAAAAAAAAAATAAAAATATTTTTTCAAATCAATACTGATGAAATATTTTAATAAGTTTACCTCTTTAGAGACTTCGTTATATGTAAACTCGTTTTTCGAGAAAATAGAGTTAGACACAACAAATAAATTGTTATTGGGCGTTGGGTTTGGAAACGACGATATGTCATTGAGAGATAAGTCTGTAACGGTTTTACTGTACACGTTCTTGTTAAAGTTTATATTGTTGTTTGAATTTTTTTTAGTCAGCGTGTCGACTGGTAAGACATTTTTCCTCGGTACTTCCAATTTTGGTGGTATTACTATGAGTTTTTCTGAACTGGAAGAATTTCCATCGTTATTTTTTATAGGTTCATTTAAATCTGATTGTGACGAGATAGATGTGATCAAGTCGGGCTTTGAAATCGAAATTTCAGTGTCCACACATGTCTTATTTTTATGACAATACTGCGCTAAACTCTGTTTCAATTTTGCAATTTCTATTTGTTGTTGCCTTATCACCGAGTCTCTCTCTCCTAGTTGCCGTCTAATCTGCTGTTGTTCTTTTCTCAATTTAGACTCGAACACATACAGTGACCTCAAAATTCTGCCTAAATCATTGAAATTTGAACGTTGAAATTCTTTTAGCTGATTGTTTTTTTTGTCAACTTTCAGTGACAGTTCTGCCGCTAGCTGATGTCTTTTGATAATTTGACTGGTCAATGCATTTTTCGTTCTTGAAAGTTCGTTTTTTAATCTGATTATTTCACTATCAATCTGAAACAAAAATATAAAATAATTAAATATAATTATTGTCCATACATATGCTACACTCTAACTTAAATAATAGAAACTTCTTTGTTTGTATATTTATATACATGGATTTTTAAACGTTATGAACGAAAAAAATCACAAACTATTGACAGTAAATAATTGTATTTATGAATAGCCTTTATATTATAAGTATCTACATTCTACATACTTTTAAACATTATTATTTTGTTGTTGAATCAACACAATTATGTTTAATTTTACTTTGTATTTTTTAGAGTAGATATTATTTAGCATTTATATTTGAATTTCATTAATTTATTCATAACTAGGTCACGTTTGATTTGTTAGTGTTATGTAATTTCAAAGAGCTATGCGTAATAAAGTTGTTGTCAAGAATAATCTATTTACAATTATTGTCATTTAATATATTATTGAAAATATAAAAATACGCTAACATAAATAAATAGTTATAAAGATTTTCGTAGTATTCAGAATTATGAAAATATTTATTTTTATATAACACATAATTATAAAATGTATAATCGTGATACATATTTTTTATGAAAATATTACTACTTACTATAAGCAACATTGATTAAAACTTAGCAAAACATATTCACGTATAAGTATGTGTCTATCCTATCTTTATAAACTACGATTTATCATAGTGTAATACAAACAGATGAACGAATAATTGCTTCATTAGAAAAACTTGAGAAGACAACGATCGCATTCCGCAAGCGTAAATATTATATGCTTTAGAACCAAATTCTTATTAAAATAACAATCGTTATTAAACAATTATCTCACATGGATTTTCCACTGACATTATGTCTCGATTTCTACGATGTGAGGTTGCAAAATGTATTTCGAATTGTTTGCAGAATATGTTCACTATTTGAATTGTGACAAAAAATGTATAAATTATTATTTATTTTGAAAATTAATCACGATATTTTTGCATAGATCATAATTTATACAATTTCGTAGATATAATTTAAATGACAAACCTTGCGAATTTTCAAATTTTGCCTCTTTTTTTATTTATCTCTCAATACTCTTATGATAATGCGATTACAGTTTTTCTACAAAAATACAATAGCGTTTATTAGTTTTCTTTCTAAGTCTTAAAATTAATCCCTTGGGGTACATACCACATCGACCAGACCAATTCCATCTTATAACGATTGGTTGCTATCCCCCCTCCCCTTAATACAGAGCTGTTTTTCAAATAATCTAAATTTATCGAGCAAATAAAATTCATATAGATACTATTCTACAGTAATACGTATTAAATGCCCATATAGTAGTAGGACACGCACACTATAATAGTTACCGACATACCTATTTATTAAGCTACAATGGCAGACCCATTTTCAGAATACACATAAAGTAGTGTAGATATCAGTATTAAAGTAGAGTATAATATACTTTTTTCTAAAAAACATTACTTATATCATGTTATTAGTTAATATTGACTTAATAAATAGCTTAATATTAATCTAAATATTCTGAAAATTTAGTTATGTATAAAATTAACATATATACTTGAGGAAAAATGTTGTAGGTCGCAATGGTTAATATATTTTTTTTATTTATGATAACATAAAATAACTAAAATAGAAAAATAATATTTTATTTATTTTATTTTATTTTTTATTTATATATTCAACTTTATCAATATTAGAACTTCAAATATTTATAAAAAAAAGTTGTTCATAATGTCTACCTACTTTTCATATTGTTAGAACGTTGTAAGAACAACTTACGATAAATTTTGCTATCATTTTTCAAGCTTTTTGACACATATAATTTTTTTATCATCAACGCTATAATGTTAAAAATTTAATTGTGTATAGAAAATAATAATTTTATTTAAGTTATATAACGAGTTGATACAAAGTTTTATGCGATCAATATTTTTTGAATTACGACAAAAATTATATTAAAGAAATCATTATTTTATGATAAGAAATCATGGTGGTTTTGAGTTCATTTTTTTTTTATTTTTTTTTAATTCTTTTACACTAATAAACACTTATAATGAATCTTGTATTTAATCTATAGGCCTTAAGTAAAACACTTAAGTGAAATTTTTAATTAAAAAATAATTTGCATATGTTCATGTATTTTAATAGATTTCATCAAATTTTTAAATTTAAAGGCTTATAAGTCAATTTTTTTTAAATTATTTTTTTAAACTTTTTGACTCAGAAAAACACATTTATTATTAAAAAATTCAAAAATATTGAATAGTATACTGAGAATAATTATTTGACATATCCTGTAAGTATGTATGACCACGAACTAGATCCAATTTCCTGTCATAAATCACCTTCAATATTCAATATTTGTCTGGTGTAAAAGTTTTTTCGGATGTAAAAAATAAAAACTATCATTGTAACACCAATGCTTACTTTGTTTCACACAGTGTCTAACATTTAAAAACTTAAAAATATCATTGTTACATTGCTCAGAAACTATATTAACATCATTTTAACTTTTTTAATCTCATATTTTTCCACAACATCCTTACAACGAATAAATATTATTTCTGGCGTTGTTTATCGATGCCGGATTTTTGAAATCGGTTTGAGCGTAGTAATACGTTACAATAAAATTACTATATTGTATAGTCTGCATCAAAAACTATTTACATATATATATATATATATATATGATTTGTTGTAGTTTTATTTCTGCGAATAGTGGGACAATACAATTTTCTGATAAATTGTATTTTCAACGAATCTTAAGCCATAACGCCCAACTGGATAACTCGCCATACTAACGTCTGTTCCCGAGAATTTATCTACTCGGGATAAACGATGACGATTTTGTGCAGCGGTTCACATTTCAAACTGTTCCACCCATCCCACCACCGCCACCAACCATTACGTTTTTCAACGTTAAACGAATTCCAGAGTCGAGACGTGTCGGCTGTAGAATTTACCAGTACACAATAACTGCACTAACAACACGACTGCATTCGATATGAAAAAATAAAACAATGTTGAAAAACACGAACAATCCGATCCTCTCGTGGAGGACTGCCCATTTTAACCCTTTCGGTAAAAAAAATTTACCACGTACGTGAGTATTCATGAATACGAACTTTTTAAGTTTTTTAATTATTCATTGATTATGCTGACTGTCGTATATATACTGATAGCCTTGCTATTATGGTCACTAAGATTATCAGACCAAACGACTATCTCCCTCATTAGCGGTTATTACCCGCGGCGATCGCGACGACGGCTGTGCGATTATCGCACGTCCGGCGAGCTGCCCCGTCGTGTCGTAGTCGTTACCCGTCTTCCGTTTTCGCCATTTTTCGTCCGGCAAAGATTGTGTGTTGAGCTGTTGCTCCACCGACCCATCGGACAATTTTACGACCCTTAATTTTTGTGTCACGTGTGACCGTCGGTATAGTTATCTTTTTTTTTTTTTTGCGTATGTCGCTCTCGCCGCCATGTTTCCCTACCGTCGACCTAACCGTCGACCTAACCGTCGCTCCACCGTTCTCTTTTTGGCAATTGTTGCAGCCAACTTGTGTCGTGTGTGACCACCAAAATCCGTTATGTTTCGTTGTATCGGGGTCGGTGCATGGATATAAATGTTCCATGTTTTTTTTTTTTTTTTTGTGTGTGCGAATCGTTGCGGTATCCTTTTTTTGTGAAGTGTGCATTCTCCCAACATTGTAATATAATATATATACATATACTCCACATGGTTAATAGTGGACCGGTATCGTACCACTTTGCCGTATCGTTTCGGCACAGTGTCGGATCGTATTCGACGATTATAACCTGCCACTGCTGAGAGTCGTCGTTGGACAACCGGCCAGACTCCACTACCAATCTTTCCCGTGATTATAGTGTTATCAGTCGATCCATATCATGGTCGTTTCATTATTATCATTTGTTATTATTATTTTTGCATTACCACCGATTTAGCTAAATAGTTTAGTACTCTATTATATTATTATTAATTATTATATATTTTTGAACGTGGAGACTTCTACCTCATTATTATTATTATTATTATTACTTAATAATATTGTCTATTATTCTATTTATTTATTTTAGCAGTACAGCGGAGCCATTGGCACGTCATTCATATACATTTACGTGTTTTTTTTTCTAGTACCTACATATTTAATAATATTTATTGTTGGTCACCTTACCATTGATACATATTACGGGGGTTGCCCGACGTGAGTGTTGTGATCGGTAGGCTGATTTTAAAATTTAGGTTTTATTATTGAGTGTAGCCGAACCGGTCGACGGCTTCTGGGTCGACAGTAAGGGCTCGTACCACAATTTGGCGATTAATAACATTTTTTTAAATGAGTTTGGATAATATATCAAGGTATTATAAGTACTAAATTAGGTCGTTTACTGCGAAAACTACATAAAATAATTTTTGAAAGTTACTAGTTGTACGAGTAGGTCAGTTACTAAAAGGTTTAAGGAATTCCGAATGGTGGGTTAGCGGAAGTGAGTAAACAAAGTTGACGATAAAATATTATCAATCACTGACCGTGAAACAATAGACCGTCATCGAAATTCAATAAAGCCTTAAAGGTGGTGTAGATGAAGACGAAAACCCAATCGTATATTAAATAAAATTCCGGCCTCACCGTCGTGCGTGCGTCGTACAAAAGCGATAATCGTCAGCGAAAAATGGGGTAGGTAAAAGTTAGAAAAAAAAAATAAAACAAAAAAAAATCCAAAACTATTTTAGTCGTTCAGTGAATCGGCAGACATAATGAGATATTTTTAGTATAAATATATATATATATATATATATACACGTCGACGGGATGTTCGCTCAACAATTACGGGCAGATAGAAATCCATTTCCTGCGCACGTGTATACGATCAGTGTATATACGTAGTGAGTATATGGTATATAGAATTCGATCGCTGGAAAATAAATATTATCCAAGTTGTACGAAACCAACGATATTATTGTTCTTGCCGCCATATTTTCGTAACCGA